ATGGTGGCCGATTTTCCGTATTTTGACTGGGGACAGAAAATTGAAGATTTGAGCAAATAAAAAACTTTTTGCACAGAAATACTCGAAAAAATACGCTTATTTCGTTAAGCGAAAAAACATTTTTGGGTTTATGTGCACTTTAAGGCTTCAGTAAGAAATCTCTCCAAAGCTTTAACTGCAGGCTGCATTGGTTTGTCTGTGTAGTGCAAGGAATCACGGGTACCTCCAGGCCAAGCGGCGGTCAGCGGGTAAATATCCAGTACAGGAATTCAAGCCTTATACAGAGGGTCTGTAGCATAGGTATGGAACATCTGATTCCTCTGAATCATAAACAAAATAGGCATGCAAGGAAGAGATCATGATAGTTTAGAAAAATTCTTTAATACGAATTTTAAAACAAATTATTGTTTGTATGCCAAATATTTAAAACACAATCCCATAATGTCCATTGTTGTGACCAAGTAACTCACAAGAGTTCCATTAGTAATCCATCACAAAGTCTTCTGGGAAAAGAGAATAACGAAAATGACACAAAGGAAAGAAAAATACGAGAGACACATGCCAAACACTATTGCAATCATGTTCAGATTATGTGATAATTGAATCCTACACTGACGCAGTTTGCTTGATTCTTAATTATGGTCTATTGGAGGACAGACGCATGGATGACGTCACCATTAACATTTGGTTTCTTTTTTAGTAGAGCAAAGAAGACGTAAATTTTATCTTATAACATAGCGCGCGCGCTTGCCCTATATAAGTCCTATTGAGCCGCTATGAACAAAATCTTTATTTGCACACACCCGTGCGTAAATAAGATGGTGTGAGCTTTTTCTTTTTTTTTTTTTTTACCTGCCTGCAGAGTTTCCGTCCTGTTAAGCTGCAGCGCAGTTTTCCTTCTCTTTAAAATATGGAAGAAACCAGTCAAGGACTGCCCAATTTTTAACTTCTTCGACTTTTTAAACGTTTGTTCCAGTTAAGCGATAACTGTGGATGAAAAGCTCAACATTAACGGGTATTCGACTTTTAAAACATTTTATAGTGACACGAGTTTATTTAGCTTTGATTTCCTCCATTTTTCCCGTTAATTTTCAGCTTTTCCTTAACAGTTATCGGTTAATTGGATCAAATCTTCCCGCTCAAACCAAAGCATAAAGTGTGGCGTGTTTTTTACCAGCCAATTATTTCTTTTTACTTTTTTTGTGCGTTGTGAGGATTTTGCACTCTATCACAATAAGAAAGCTTCTTCGCGAAGATCCTTGTTGTCGCTCTGTTATAAAAGAATTTGTTCATACTTTAAGCTGTGCGTATATTGGGTTATGGATGCACGTGGTAATGCACGTGCATCCATACCTCAATATACGCACATTAAGCACGAACAAATTCTTAAATTTTGTAAGAACATCAGTAACACACCTAGCTGCGCCTGAGGTGCCACTTTTTTCTTCTTACTACACTTTTGACGTCATCTGCGATCTATCATTGACTATAGTTCACCACTAAATTTTCTCCGATTCTTATTGGTTTAAATTGATCACGTGACGCGATAGTGTTCTTCCGTAGAGAGACACTATCAGCCCTTACAGTTCACCACTAAATTTTCTCCGATTCTTATTGGTTTAAATTGATCACGTGACGCGATAGTGTTCATCCGTGAAGAGACAATATCAGCTCATAGTGCCTGTCCGCGGAAAATGCCCGGATGGATAGTGCCCGTCCGCGGAAAATACCCGGATGGATAGCACTCATCCGTGAAAAATTTTGAAAGGTTTGACGGCCGCGAAGTTAGGCAGATCGGAAAAACAGTGACCTTTCAATTCTGACAGGTATAACGTATTATTTAGCCAATGTACGGTTGCGAATTATTGACATTTGTGACAGGCTGTACGCATGAATAAATATTTGATTGATCTGGCGCGCGGAAGAATATTTAGTGGTGAACAATAAAAAGCAATAGACTGTTTATGTCTCGGAACTATCGGTCTGATAGTTGCCCCTTGGAAATATGATGTTCTTAAAACTATCATATTTGTTTTAAGAACATCAAATTTCTGCGGGGCTACTATCAGCCGATAGTTCCTCGACAGAGCCACTCTATTGTTTAAATAGTGCTTGTCCGTGGAAAATACCCGGATGGATGATACTCATCGGTGAAAATTTTTCTGTACTAAATAGGCAGGCTTTGTTATAGTATGTCTACTCGATTCCACTGTACGGTTGCGAATTATTGACATTTGCGACAGGCTGTACGCATGGATAAATATTTGATTGATCTGCATTTAGTGGGTTTTGACTGTTTTTCAACTGGCACGCGGAAGAAAATTTAATGGTGAACCATAAAGACAATAGAATGTTTACGTCTCGGAACTGTCGGTCTGATAGTTTCCCCTTGGAAATTTAATGCTCTTAAAACTAGCATATTTGCCCTCGAAGCTTCGCTCCTCAGCAAATATTTGTTTTAGAGCATCAAATTTCCGTGCCGATAGTTACTGGACAGAAGCACTCTATTGTTTAAATAGATGCACGGCAACATCTGTTTGTTGAAAAGATCACCAGTCTCGGTGACACGTTTTCTGACGCGTGCTTCAAACGCATTTGCTTACTCCGTGCGTGTACTAATACAATCTTTCCACCGGTCAGCACAAGGGACTTGATAACTATTTTACGATCATAGAATATGATATTCCAACTTATATCACCTGATTGGTATAGAATCTCCTCTCTGTATAATTCCCTTGGGGAAAGAAGTCTTCAAAACGCTCCACTTCTATGGCGGCGTTGCTCCGCCAAATAGGAAGAGGTCGGCCACTCAGCGCCCCTTCATTCTCAGTACCAGTGTCTCTCCGCCGTAATACCTTGATAATGCTGTCAATCAGCATTTGATAAGTTGTAAAGTTCAACGTTATTGAGTAATGTAGACCGACGTTGAAAAAGAATACGCTTTGATTCCCTCTCATATCAAGGCTGTCCAAGATTTTTTTGATCTCCTCAAGAACAATAGTCTGGTTGAAATCTCCATTGTCGTTTCCTTTCGAGGAGACCTACACAGTGAGGTACGAGGAACCGGTCAACACTGCTCATAGCCGGGAAGGAGGGAGGGTTAGCGCGCGAAGGATTTTGGTTGTGTCACGATAAAATTTACCTGATTTACCCCGCCCCGGTCTCCATAACGCTCTGCAATATCCTTGAGATCCCCCACTTCACATTTGCAGTTTAGTGGCACTCAATTATCTATAGTCATCTATTTCTACTCTGTTGGCGACGACTGATACTCCCTCTGATCCCCTAAAAAACCATGTGATCTCCACCCCCTCCCCCCACCCTCACACAATTCCTCTAATTCCGGCCCTTCCTTAAAATGGTCCCTTTGAAAGAATAGTAGAAATCAAAACTCTGATAGAAACGATACAAAAATGGCATGACCAAACTAATAGTTTATTAGATTAATTAAAATCTACCTTATATAATTTCAAATTTGCAAAATTTCCCGAAGATATAAGCCGTTTCATCCACAAAACAAACAGGAAAGGAAACAAACAAAAGGAAAGCAAAAAAGCAAACTTAGTAAACTTGTTATCAACTACAAGTTGGTAATAAGTAACTAGAAACACTGGTCATCCCCCCAATTAGGAAGAGGTTTGTGCACTTGTTTTTCAAACAGAGAGAGGTCTTTGAAACCATTTCTATGTAGATTCATTTTTGTTCGTACTACCTTTCCGAGCCTTTGTGTCTTCTCATATTCAACAGAAACGATCCCAAATACGAAATCAGCAGACTAAAGACTTTTGACAAGTTAGTATTAAATAACTGAAAGAGTTTCAATCTCTTCACTCACATCATAAGTCCACATATACTTCTTCTCACAGGTATGAAACATTTCCTTGCAAAGGCGATTTCTCCTTGCAAGAGAATGGAAATGCACATTTGTGGAATCCCCATAAAACATTAGATCATCTAATTTTCTCTTCACACGTTTTCCCGCATATTGTGTCTTGTGCATCTCTAATAAAAAAAAGCAAAAGAAAAACATACACAGTAGTAATGAATAGCACGCTGAGGAAGGTCAAAAGAATCTCTTTAAATTGCGACTTTCTTTTCCATACAATAGTTCCAGAAGGTTATTTTCATATCGTCGTGTTTAAGCTGAAAACATTTTGGAGGTAACTTGCATCGCGATCAAACTTTTTAAGAATTGGACATGAACTGACATTGTGTGAATTAATTTCAATAGTTAGCTCGCTAACCTTCCGGGACGTATGGTTTCCAAATGCTATTGACCCATCGCCCAAAGCCGTTCCACACCAAGGAGGATTTAAAGTCACACGAAGGCTGCAGGAATCTTTTTTTACCCGATTGACTAAGCAATGGCTGGATGTACTTGAAGAAACCTGTAATACGTTATAGTAACGGCGTAGCTCTCAGTAAGTCTCAAGTATATGGCTCACTGATGGAGCATCGGAATGTTTTTTCATTTCGTGAATGTTCGATATAACATAAAAAAATCAAAAAAATAAATAAATTCAAGCTCCCCCATAAGGGCTTTTCAACCACAATGTACACTAACTAAGTGCTTGAAAATCCCCACTGGCAAGAGGCAGACCAAAGGGTTATTTACAGAGCGCAGCCGAGGAGTTGAACTAGAAAGTGGCAGGGTGGAGGACTTGAACCCAGAACAACGGATTACAAGTTCAGCACCCAAACCACTCGGCCACGCCGCCTCCTCGAGCCCAAAAGTGACTATAATGATCTAATTTGTCCTTACAATATCACCCCTGAGTCAAAAATGTAGGTCACGAGGGTAAAGGAAAAATAACCAACTGAACAGCTCTAGATTGTTAAACAAAGTCTCCTTGACAGCATCTCAGAAAATGTACAGAGAACGATATGGAGCTCGAAAATATGCATACTGATGTTAGGGTGTAAACAGGCTACAGTCAAAAAACTCTTTCTTTAGTGATTTTCTGTCCTTCACATCATTACCGTTTGTTTCGTTGCACTCTTCGATGCAAAAATTGATCGGTTTTCCATTTTGAAGCGGTGCTTTAATAAAATCTTGATCAATATCTCCCAGGATACCGGTCTCTTGTTTGTGGCCCTGAATGTCACCTTGGGAAAGACAGAGCAAAAGGTGTCAAGAGTGAACTTATTATTTCATTTGTCAAAGAAGGGCAGGATCTTTAAAACAAAAACTTAGAAATGAGGTAAGGGACAAAATTCCACATATTGGCTAAATTGGAGAACAACCACTCCACTTCGATTTTTCTCAGAACTCGAAAAACAGCCCATTATCCCGGTTATGGCTGGTTTTCACATACGACGGAGTCGGAGTTGTAAAAGCGCCGACCCGGTGAAAACTAAAATATGAGTCGTATGCGGAGTCATTAGCTCGACAGGATCGGAGTCGGAAGAATCAGAACGGTTTCATTTTCTTCCGATTCCTATTATGACTCCAACGCTTACGATCCAGTGAAAACTAGATCAAGTCGTCGGAGTCCCAAGCGGAAACAAGAGAACCAGCCAATAGAAATGGCAGTTCTCGGGCTCTTAAGTTCAGTCTTGCGCTGACTACTCCAACAATTTAGTTTCCACTGGATCGTAAGCTACGGAGTCGTAAGCGTGATGGACATTTTTCCTCCGATGCTGTCGCTTTTCATTAGATCGTATTGCTCTGCTCTTCTGATTATGACTCTGACTTCGACTGGGCCCTAAGTGTAAATAAGCCTTTACCAAACCTTTATACAACAACAAATTCGTATGCTAAACAGCTGAAGCAATATGTAAAAGCGAACCTCTTATGTACCAATCTTCTGGTGGATCCCTAAAACCATCGCAGAGTGTGAAATCCAGAAAAGCTTGGGCCGAGTAATTCCCAGGCTCCAGAGCCAGAAACATAACCTCGTATGTTCCATCAGTATGGTCGATCACAATCGGCGCTAAGGATGCTGGACCTTGTCTGATGTGCACTCTCCAAGAATCTCCCCCAGTTCTCTTAAGTTGGCCACTTTTGGTCACGGTCTGGATAAAGAAGCGACTAAACTCGCCTGAAAAATATTGAGAGTAAATTTAGAGACGCTAAATTAAAATGTTTTGAGTTTATCATATCATTATTATTATCATTATTATTATTATTAATATTATTAAAACTATTATCATCATTATTATCACGATTACCATTCGCAGTATAATGATTATCATCATTTCTATCGTGATAATCATAATCAATACAATTATTTAGATTTTTAAGAGCTTCTTACTATTCATTGGGAAAATCAAAAGATAAAAATAAAAAAAAAAAACACTCAAAACTATCTTTATGCCGACCAGTAATAACAAAATAGTTAAGGAATTGGTTAGAGGAGGACATTATGTCCATTATATCACATCTCGTAAGTTGAGCGTTATCTACTGCTTTGTGATGGTTAAGTATACTGCTCAAACTCCTGCCAGAATGACAGTGACAGATGGCATTGGAATCAAATATGGTGAAGTGTTTGGGGTTCTATACCACAAAAAGTGCCTATACAATCCTCAGTATATTCAATTTCAGCTGATTTAGCGTTTGTATAAAGAATTGAGTTTCATACTCGAAAGCTTTAGCGCAAGGCTCTTCGACATCATTATGAAGGGATTATTTATGTGTGGGCTATATCAAGAAGCGCATTGAGTGCGCCATTTATGGGGGACCATTGCTTCCTCTTGGGAAGTCCAGATGCTCTTTTAAATCCTCCGTGGTTATAAAATTGAGTTCTTCTTGTCCATTTTTTTCGGAAATTATGATGATGACAAAAGAATACTCTCAAATCAAAAACGCGCAATCTTAAAAGCATTAGAACAGTTACAGAAATCAGCTTCTCAGAAAGGTGTTTATGTCCGTTTACCTTGAGGTTTTACTTCTTTCTTTAAAATAAAACTCTTCTCAGGGTCTGTTCTGTTTAATGAAGAAGTCTCTCTTTGTCTCCAAGCCATTTTGTCACGACAGCTCCCCAACAATCCTTCCCAGTCCACACGCGACCGCTAAAGGCGGCACCAGTCGGTGAAGAAATTCTCACGGTCACTTGATGAACGATTACGTGCTCATCTGTCGCTTGTTAACTGATCAGGTGGAAACTGGTCATGTGTTAACTGATCTTGGGAAAAGTCGACTGGTTTTATTAGGCGTAAGAATTCAAGTCTAAATAATTCACGTACAATAACTGCTATTGAAACTAAAAGGGACAACAAGAAAAGCTTCTGTACTTTACAAAACATCATCTCTTGTTACCAGCTGTGAAATACAAGAAAAGAAAATATGAGCAATTTTTGACACAAATCAGGGAATTAGCGATTAGAGAACATACCAGCCTGGGATAGCTTATTCATACGGAAAATTGCATGCGTCTTATACCCAAACAGGTTTCGACAAGGGATACCCTGCAAGAGGGACTGGGATCTTGTTTGACTTTTTTATTAATATAAACGCTTACAAACATAACACTGCAGAGGGATACTTCTTGCCGCGATCCAACTCTAATAACTAGACAAGTCAGGGTTATATAAAGAGTCGCCCAGGATAGCCATCACTTCGGGAAGTCACTTCCTGATGACCTTTGATGGGTCAACCACCCGCTTGTGCAGTGAACATTCCTTGATAAATAAGCTACACTCTCGACATACTTAATTGGGACACTTCCCCAGAGCAACGTCATCTATGATGTTCTTTTCATGTCCTTCTCCCCCATACAGCGCTTTTAACTGCAAATGTGTCTGTGCCATCTTGCAGGCCAACATTGAGAGGGGCAGGTTAAGCAGTAAGTCTCTAACACAGTGTCCAGGAGTGTAATTTAAATCACTCTAAATGCGCTGTCCCTCGTCATAAACCTGCCTGAAGCTAACTTTTTCGAAGCAAACAATCGCAAACGCCCCCCACAAAAATTTAACACACAGACAAAGAGATACCATTACCAAGCGACACATTTTAAAATGGTACCTCGACACCAACTTAAATATGATTCCCTTGTGTTTTTTTTTTTTTTCTCCTCTTCTTTGAGCGCTTCTACCGGTACAACGCCAATCACCTGCAGTGTTTCTTTTACTTTGTTCCCTTCCAAACTATTTTTCACCCGGTTGCTGAGCATCGTTTCCTTTCTGACAATAATTCACAAGTGAAAATGGTAATCAGCACTGTCATTATTTTTTTTTTCTGTCAATATTGTCAAACTCCTCTTTATGGACTGTGGTAATTTAATTGCTTTAGTTTACACCAAACCTTCTAAGGGTCGACAACTGTAGAAAATTTAAAGTTAATCTAAATACCTTTATGGGCTATTTAAAAAAAAATTTTTTTTTCATAAAAAATATAAATTATAAACCGAATGCAAATTTGGTGTCCAATTTGAATTGCCATTGTTCTGGACTGACTAGCCTCTCACACATGTAATAATCCTTTTGTGTTTCCACGTGAAGACGAGGCTAGTCAGTCCAGAACAATGGCAATTCAAATTGGACGCCATATTTGCATTCGGTGTATAGAGGTGTCATACTTTCCGTAAAACGCAAACTCCATAGTGACCCTTTCGCGTTAAACAGCTTGACAGAAAAAAAAAAAAAAAAAACTATTTATTTGCACACACGTCACTCGTTAGAGGATCTACCAAACTACTGGTAGACGGCTCATAGCACGAGCCTGGCGTTGACATAATAAAGTGGATGTTATTTAATACCAATACCAAATTGACGACCGAAATCAAATTCATTTTTCAATTTTTTTTTGTTCTAAAGTTAAACAAAAATGTACACAAACCAACAACAGAAACAAAACAAAGAAAAGGAAAAAAAGACAAACCAGAAACTAATAAGGAAATTAAGAATTTATCTTCTAGTCGCTGAATGAAGGAGTGAGGTAGAATCCGCTCCTCTTGACGCGCTCGCTGTAATTTTCCACCGTAGAGCTACTGAAAAGAGTGACAGGTACGTAGTATGTAGAGAAATGGCTTAGAGTAGCCTGAAAAAATCCAGGCCACGACGGGATTCGCGACCGTTCCCCCTATTAACTGAGCTACCAAGCCACACGTTGGAAGCATGGCAAATTTTAGAGGGCTGTTGGTTCTATTCAAGGAAACTGATCATTTATTTCATAAATTATAAAGAGCAACAGCATTGAAGAAACCTTCATTTCTTTGTTTCTAAAGCAATGAAAATTTCTTTTCCGAAATATCTCGTCCACTTTATAAACACAAGAATTCTCGCCATCCAACTTGTCTGAAAATCATCACCTGCTACAGTTCTTGTTTGACCATACTGCTTGTAACGACCGAACATCATAAATCCGTTGTTTCCCTTGGAAAGTATTTCCTGAAAGTCTTAAATTTTGGGTCTGGATTGTTTATTTAGAGGTACCCTCCGCCATATTGGCGATTTCGTTTCGATTCTCTTCGTCTGCCTAGTCTAAGTTAAAATCATACGGTTGGAATTTCTTTCTAAAGGCGCCCGCCATCTTTGTTTCCTCGTCCTCAGAAACTTTGCAAGCTTTCCAGTGCACTCTGTCAGGCATGTTGAGGAGAGCAGGACTGGCTGCAACTTCCCTGTTCAGGGAAAGAGAACAAAATCAGATCAATAGAGCGCTCCTTTCATCGAGTATGGTGAAACCAAATCCAAACCAATAACAACAACTTCACTCACTCGTGTAGCTTATAACACAACAAAAATACAACCATGAACGAATCATTTTCGAGTATTTTTGAGCTAAGAGGTTATTAGACAAGGTATAGAACGTACTGGGAACCAATGAAAGTTCGCGGTTGACACTATGTCAGCCTCCAGCGCAGGAAAACAAAAGTGATCTGAGGAAACCTTTTAAAGCATAGAATCATCTCTGTGGTATGAGGTTTTCTATACCAATCGTAGAGGCGTGGTAAAGAAAAACAAAGGCACGCCTATTGTGCCTTCGATACTCAACATTTCGAAAATTCCCCTTTATCGTACAAATACAAGACGGAGATAAAGGCAAAAAATACTGTCAAAATTTACCAAGAATTTTCAAAGCCACAGTTAATACGTTTAGCGTGATTTTGTTTTTCTTCTATGAAACCCTTTATACCCTCGAGTAACCTAGGTCCGAGTAACCAGCATATAATTTCTCTTTCCATTAATACTGTTAAATTAATAATTAAGATCATGAAAATAAAGGAAATGATCGTTAAACAAATTCTTCTGGTCAATAACAAAACATTTGTAGGGAGAAGAGCATAAAGAATATAGACACCGATGTTAAAGCGTAAAGAGTTTATTTTAATATATTACACTTTACACAGGTCTGACAACCTCTAGCAACCTACTTAAATGTTGTCCCAAAAAGTTACATCAAAGCTAATGATAAACCACCCAGGTACTATCTTAAAAAGCTACCTTCCAAACTGAAGAGGCATCTTCGAAGATACTCTGTGAAGCAATTTGTCTTCGTTGTCGAATTCTACCACAAAATAGGGCGCTCCAACCGGTACGATCTGTGAAAAAAAATAAGTCAAGAAAAAAAATAAAGAAATCACAAAAAAATAAGCAGTATAAATTGATGGTGATGAAGCTAAATAAAAATAAAACGAGCCGACAAGACTCGTCCGGCGTTAATGATATCTTAATTTCGATTTTGCTGTAGCTGTCGTTCGCCCATACATACCCAGAAGGATGTTATATAACGTTACTGACGATGCTAAAACATAGAACACTTAAAAAGTGATAAAAATAAGCTCGCTCTAATAGTGTGGCTTCGCAGCTAATTTGGTACCAGGCCCTCAGAGTCATTGCGAGGAATGTGTACGAATTCCGTCGGAATCTCTATGCTTGTATATCATGAGAAGTCTAATTTTCACTGTGGTTACATTTTTGTTGCTGAGTTTTCCATTCGTGATTACAGTTATTTGTACTTCTTTCTTTTTTATTGTCATTCATTGAGTATTCCGCAGATTCAAATTCCCACGCCACCCAGACAAGGTTCAAATTCCCTGCACCCGAGACACGGGCGACAGTCAAAAGGAAAACACGCCACGAGGTACCTGGAAGTTAGCCATTGTGGAGGAACTAATTTCAAGTGCAGACGGAAAAATCAGAGCCGCAACAATCCGAACAGCTACAGGAAAGTTGCTAAACCGTACGCTCAACTTCTTGTACCCCCTGGAATGTGCTGAACAACGAGAAAGCCCAATCCAGCCCAGCCGAAGTGAGGATGACCAGTATGATGCAAGCCACCAGAGAAGCAAACAAAAACTTACCACTGAGCGCCCAATCCGGAAGGCAGCTATTAAAGCAAGACAAGCCCTAAACAAACTGTTAAACATTTGATCCTGATCGCATATTGTTATCCCGTTTCTTAAATTTTTTTTTGGCCATGATAACTCCATTTCGTTCTGTTAAAAAAATAGATTTCCTTTATTCCCGAACATTGACAGTTAGAACTTCTAGGCTTGGGAGTGTCGCGGAGGGCCGAGCGACCACTCCACAAGAATTAGCGACCGCTCCTTTCAGACCATGTGCGAAGAGAAGGAGGATTTGTCCTCCGTTTAAATCTTTGTGTTCAGTTGAGAATAAAGAAAAATCGCGTTCGCGACAGCTCATTGAGAGAAGCATTGAGAGATTTGGTATCAGCAGCTCTTTGTTTACTAAGTGCCATGAGTGTGGCAAGGAGGAATTTAGGGCTACAGGAGAGCATGATGGTGATCAAGAGACCCCGAGAACCATCCAGGGTAAAGATATCAATAGACGAGTAGTTTGTGCTGCTTTCGAGATGGGAATTGGTAGAGAAGGGGTGGCTAAGCCATGTGAAATTCTAAACATGCCATTCAGCACTTCCATAGACACTTGGTATAACCTTGAGGAAATTCTTCATGCTGCACACGACAAAGTCACCAAGGAGCACTTTAAAGCCAATGAAAATGAAGCAAAACAAGTCGCAATAGATGAAGGAACCTCAAGAAAAGATAACAGTTCTCTTGTTGATATCCCTGTCACCTTTGATTGCACTTGGTCAAAGAGGGGTTTAACTGCTAATCATTGTGTTGGCTCAGCCTGCAAGGACAAGCCTCATCATCTGGATGCTGTCTTCGAAGAGCCATTGCTAAAGATTTGTGAAAGATTATGCGGGCCAGCATTGTTGGAAAGGTGTTTTCCTGGCTACACACAATGCCAATGAATCTATCAATTCTCTTATTTGGAAAGTGTCCAAAGCACAAGTGGCATGGATCAAAGAGAATAGGAATGGCGGAAAATGCTGCTTCCCTTCATTTTAGTTGTGGCGCAACTAAGAAACATGATGTTATGAGGGAAGCAGGGCTTGTTGTGGGAAAGCATACCAACAGAGCTAGTAAAAGAAGAGACTCAGGAAGAGTAAAACAGGCTGTGGCAAGAGTGCAAGAAAAGCACAAGAAATATAGGCTTGCAAGGAAACAAGCAAAAGCGAAAGAAGAAGAACTCCAAGTCAGGAGAGAAGGGACGACATACGAAGCAGGCGGTTTTAATGACATTGCTCCTGTCAGAGAGCCTCAAAAGAAAAAAATGAACAAGTAGAGACAGTTGGGATAGATGTGAGCAGTGTATCAATGTAAATTTGTGAGTTTATATAAGTCAAGGGGCTCTAAGTAGCATCTGACTATATTGTTCATTTTTAACTTGCGTTTCTTAAAATTATGGAAACTTTGTTGTTTTCGTACTTGCCCCTTAAATGTCTTAAGAGCATTTCAACATATTACCACCATATTTTGCACAGTTATAATAGATATTATGGTTAACAAATTAATGGAGCCTTTTTTGAAAATTCCATATAAAACAGAAGTTACAGTCTCATAAATATTCTCTGTCGACAAATAGCTGCCATGGTAACTACAGTTGGCAAAACCCCAAAAGGCTCAATCAATTTGTAGAGTGTGTTGTGTAAGTGCTTTGTACCAAGTTACAGCTCTATAGCTCTTTTAGAACACAAGAATTTCAAGGGGAAGCTAGAACAAGTCAAAAATTGTCTCCGGAACTCATTAGTTATTAATTAACTTCATTAAAGATTTTGGTGTCTATTGATCATGTTGTCGTACTTATTAGTCATTGATGAATGCATGTGCCAAGTTTTGACTGTTTTCTCTCAATTGTAAATTTTTTATGCATTATTTTATATGCAAGTGAATTTGCCCCAAAATGTAACCAGAATGCCCCCTTAAGTAAGCTCAATAACATACCTGCGCTTTACTTTGATTTAACTTATAATTGTCCTTTGAATAACTCAGCCCCCATTTTTCAGTATATTTTACATAATAATTTTGAAAGACATCAAAACGGATAGAAAATTTGATATCGTATAAATTTTCCACCCGTTCAGTGTTATCTCAAAATGTTAACTCTCATGTTTCTTCGCAGAGAAGTTTAAAGCCTAACGTCTTTCAATACTACGATGACTGAACAATGTGCAGTTCCTCTTTGTCTTCCAAACAACTGTAAATGGGACGAGCAGACTGGGGAGTACAGCAAGAGCGGTGGCGCAAGAGAAAGCCTTTGTGTTGTTGAAGCAGCCCTTGAGAGGCTCAAGGGTATCAAAGGTAGAGTTTAATATTGGGGGATTTTATCAGTGAATGTTTCAGCATATTTTCAGAAGATGAGGGGACATTTCAGGACTCCGCCTCCATCAGACTTGTGGGTTCCTTTTACGTACCTTTAAGACACCAATTTCATGCGACGATAAGATTGTTTTAAATAAACATAAAATATTTTAAAAATTACTTTTCGTGAAAGAATTCTTTGCTCATCCAGACTTTAGTGTAAAAATATGTCCGTGTGTTTAAAACAAAGTTTCGCCCTTTCTCCTCACACTCCATCAAAAACTCCTGCATCCGCCCCTTTTTT